GATTAGGCCGATTTAAGACCTGATTTACCTCTAACAACAATCTTAAAAATGTTCTGATTTTTGTAAAAAAAAAAAATCTGATGTATTTTCCATGTGTGGTGTGTTTAGACTGCGTCGCTCAGAAAGACTTCGGGACTGCTCCGATCTCAAATCGGGGATATCCAACATTGGATTGTTTTGGCCCGATTTCTCTTGGTGTGCGGTGTCGGGGACAGACGAGCGTGTTGCCGGTGGACTGCGGCGTGTAGCCAATCAGAAGCCGAGGTGACGACGAAACTCCGGAGAAAAACTACCTGCATCCTCTTCGTCCTCCATGATTGTTTGCTCCGAAGTCACGCTTGATCTCCAGAGATTTTGTGAGATTTCCGTCTGACCTGAGAATGCTCCTGGGGAAAATCGGTTCGTGTGCGATGTGTGTGGTTTGCGTGATTTTGTCGTCTGGCTGCGAACCACACACTGTACGACCAAAGTGACCAGACCCTTGATTTTTTTATCTCCGTGTGTGGGGTCTCTCAGGTTAGGAAAATCGGCCGACAATTTTAAAATCGTCTCGTGTGAACCAGGCTTTAGATCCCACTTTCTCGCTCTTAATGCAGAAATAGCCGATTTGAACATAAGCTAGCTGGAGCTGATTCCCTTATATGGGCATTTCTTTTGCGCCGTTAGGTTTGTGCCGTAACAGAGGCAGACTTTTGTCAAGACGGTTGCTAAGGCCAGCCGGAGATTCCCTGCGAGTGAAGGCATCTTGATTGGTCAATCCTTATCTGGCCCGCATCTGGATTTACAAAGACAAAATCACAATACAGAAATATAAACACCAGGATCACAGAGAATGCTAAACCATGGATTTTTTAAGCCCAATATGTCTGGGCTTCCACTCAGCGGCACGGTGGCTGAGTGGATAGCACTCTCGCCTCTCAGCAAGAAGGTCCTGGGTTCGAATCCCGGTTGGAACAGGGCCTTTCTGAGTGGAGTTTGCATGTTCTCTGCGTGTCTGCGTAGGTTTCCTCCGGGTGCTCCGGTTTCCCCTACCACGAAAAATATGTACAATAGTTCTGGCATGTGCCTCCTGTACTGGCCCTGCTCCCATCTCTGTGTGGAGTGAGAGATAAATGCCCAAAAAATTAACAATTGTAAACCGCTTTGAGACTCAGATGTGCAGTGAAAAGGCGGTATATTAATAAAGATTACTACTAATTACAAAATGGTGAGTGTGGCATAAACAGTTACTGAACGAGAGGAGCTTACTTTTAAGTCTAAAGCATTCTCTATTGAACTTCATAG